TTTTTTTTTTAATTTTGGTATATGTTCTGAATAGAAATCAACTTTGCATGTGTTTCAAAGATTTAATTTGCTTTTAATGTATTTCATTAAATGTAGGTTTGGTGCTGCTTTGAATATGATATAATGCTGCAATTGGCCATGAGAAAGGCATGGGAACTGCTCCATGCAGTAAACATTCTACAAAGAATATTATACTCAAAAAGGTCTAAATTAATTGCATGTGTTTGAGAATATAAGTGACCCAGTGGATATATATAAATAAAGTTCAGTGTTAATGCAGGGAAAAAGTGAAATTCACTAGGATTTAGCCAGCAATATCAGAAAAAAGTTGAGCTTCAATTATTACCTTTTCCTCATTTACTTAACAACATAGACTTGCACAAACTGAATAACATTTGAATAAAAAAATTTCCTTACATGATTTGGAGTCCAGTGATGATGAAGAAACATTAGATACAGCCAGGTCACTTTTTGATTTTTTAGGCTTCTTTGCATTTAATTGCCAAGGTTTATCATAGCTTCTAAAATCCCTTCTTGTTCCTTTAAGTTCTGTAAAAACAAAATATATATATAAACCCGACAATAAGTGATTTCAAGATTGATCATAGCCAAATTAATTAAGTCATTAAATATACTCGGCAAAAGGTACAGGTCACCTCATATCAAAAACAATACAAATATCCAAAGTATTTCTCATTTATTTTCATCTGTAAATTAGAGTTTTTAACCTTACATGATGAATCAGTTTGTTAATGAATATGATTAAAATTTTGTCACATAAAACTGAAATTATTTGAAGAGCTTTTTAATGCATGGATTCCCATCACTTAAAATAACATTCTATATATGATTTTCACAGAATAAAACATTGTATTCTGCTGTAAATAAAAACAAAAATTTAAGTAAATTTCACTCACCTGATGCTACTTTATCCATTATAACATGTAAAATCACTGACATTCACCTAAATCCATTTCTCCTCTAGGCAAGAAAGATTAATTCAATTCAACCACTTTATCATAGTTCCCCTTCAAAGGTGTTCAGTGTCATACCAATTCCCAAATTAAATGATCTTTCCAAGAGTTCACCCTTCTTGACTTCTTTGTCAGGCATTTCACATTTTTACACACACCAATCTTTGTGGAGTTTTACCTTCTCTTACTTCAAGTCATCACATTCTCCTCATCCCCATATCACTCATTCCTTCTGACTACTCCTTCTCTGTCTCACTCATTCTTTGGTCATCT